ATCTTTAAAATAAATAATAATTTATAATTTCTTATAATGCTTAGGGTTCTCTGACCAACTCCTCTGCTGTTTTCATTTGGGTTCACATGTGTGCATTTGATGGAAGAGAAGTTTCAAGATGACCTCGCTCACATATCTGGCAGCTGGGGATGGCTATTGCATGGGGGAAATCAGTGATCCTTTCTGTGACTTCTCACCTTGTATTTGGCCTGACTAACATAAAAGCTAGAAAGTCTCTTGAGGCCTTTTTTCCTGAACTCGTACAGCGTAACTCCTGCCACAATCCATTGGACAAGATTTAAACACAGAGAAATAGGCCCTTACTTCTGGATTAGAGAATATTAAAGCATTTTTGATTACATTTTAATTTACCACAATGTTGTAAAACATGAACTCTTTATGATTAGTTAAATAGCTATTAACTATTAGTTAATTATTTAACAAAATTTCTACTATCCTTTGTGGGAACTTTCTTCACATTAGAATTTATTAGATTAGGTATAAAAATTATATCTTTGGGTGAATGAAACCAAATTTCTCGTCCAAAATCTAACATTTTTAATACCTATAATTAAGGTCACAAACTCCAATGCTTACAAAATCCCACAGTCGGTAAACATAACTGAAAGCTGCCAGGTCAGATTGGGGTAATCTGGAATATATATCCTATATCTAAAAATGTAGCAACAGATAGTTCTTTGTGACAGTATGACCCCAGTGATGTCTAGACAACTGCTATTTTAAAACAGAGACAACATTTCAGTAATTTGCTTTGTCAGTTTCAACAAACTGATTCTAAAACTTATGTGGAAGAACAAGACCTGGGACAGTAAGCACAAGACTACAGAACAAAGTCAAAGGATGGATGCAACTTGACTTCAGAGCTTACTATAATGCTACGATAGTCAAGGTAGTGTGGTGTTGGCAACAGAATAGACAGATTAATGGAATAGAACAAAGCTTCCAGAAATAGACACATACAAATATAGTCAACTGATCGCTGACTAAGGAACAAAATCAAATCACTGGAGAAAGGGTAGACTTTTCAACAAGTGGTGCAGGAACAATATGAGAAAGAAGGAGAAGGAGGAATCTAGACACAGATCTTATACTTTTCACAAAGGTTAACTCAGAATGAATCCTTGACTTGAATGTAAAACACAAGACCATAAAATTTTAAGAAGGAAACTGAGGGGAAAAAAAAATCTAGGTAATAGAGTTTGGCAATGCATTTTAAAACATAGCATCTAAAAATAATCCTTGAAAGAAGAAATTGATAAGTGGGACTTTATTAAAATTAAAAACTTATTTTCTGCAAAATACAAAGCTAAGAAAAGGAAAAAAACAAACCACAGACTAAAAAAAAAAAAAACTTGCAAAACAAATATATGATCAAGTACTTGAATTCAAAATATATGACAAACTCTTGAGACTCAAGGATTAAAAAAAACCCAGACAAAACAAATTTTAAAAATTGACAAAAATATCTTAACAGACATCTCACTAAAGAAGATACAGATGGTCTGGGCTCAGTGGCTCAGCCTGTAATCCCAGCGCTTTGGGAGGCCAAGGTGAATGGATTGCCTGAGCCCGCGGGTTCAAGACCCATCCGGGCAACTTGGCGAGACCTCATCTCTCCATTAAATCAAAAAATTAGCCGGGTGTGGTAGCGCACGCCTGTAGTTCCAGCTACTTGGAAGGCTGAGGCGGAAGGATCGCGGGAGCCCAGCAGGTCAAGACTGTGGTGGCCGGGAGCGTGCCACTGCACTCCAGTCTGGGCAACAGAGTGAGACTCCAACTCAAAAAAAAAAAAAAAAGAAAGAAAGAAAGAAAAAGAAGATACGGATGGAAAGTAAGCATATAAAATGTGCTCAGCGTCATATCCATTAGAGACTTGCAAGTTAAAACATCTATCGTCTACTACCACACACCTATTCGAATGGCTAACATCCCCCCAAAATGACAACTCTGATACATCTGAATAATGGAATATTATCCAGCAACAAATGAGCTATCAAGCCACAAAAACACTTGAGGGAATCTTACATATACATTGCTAAGTACAGGAAGCCAGTATTAAAAGGCTACATACTGTATTATTCCAATGATATGACATCTTGGAAAAGGCACATCTATAGCAATCGTGAAGTGGACAGTGGCTGCCTGGTGTTTGAGGTTGGGGTAGCACAGGAGGGATAAACAGGTGAAGCTTAAGCAATTTTTAGGGTGGTGAAATAAATCTATATGATACTTTAATGTGGATATATGATGCACATTTGTCAAAACCTATAGAATTAGAAAAAATAAAGTTGACCATAATGCACACTATGGACTTTAATTAATAATAATGTATTCATATCAGTTCACTCATTGTAACAAATATGCCATACTTATGTAAGATATTTACAACTGGCGGAACTATATTACAGCAGATTGGGACCAGATATCTGGGAACTCTCTGAACTACTTGCTCAATATTTTTGGTAAATAAAAATTCAAAAACAAAATATTTTTTTAAATAACCATTTTGCATTTCATGGCTTTTTATGATAAAATAAAGTGTAATCGTTTGAGTTGAAGTGTTGCTCCTTTCTTTGGTGAATAAACAGCGTGGTACATAGGTCCCAGGTAATTTCTTTTTTTGTTCTTGTTGTTAGAAGATTGAATGAAGTAGATCTTACTTGATGTTTTTTAAAGGTGATATTAGAGAGTAATATCAATAGTGTATATAGTGGAAACATTTCCGCTGAGAAGCAGGTGCTAAAAAGAAAGCTTTCACATGTGTAGGTCTCTGCTATAAAGATAGCTAGCTGTAAATGCACATTTTGGGAACTTGTCCAGTTCTGTTCTGGAAATTTATTTTTAAGCAGTATTATCTTTCACACCATCTTTGTTGGATTAGAATAGTCACTTTCAAGGAGATAATTGAAACATATCACCAAGCTTTAAAAGTTTCGAGACATTTTTCTACAATGTTGATATAATAAGGATAAGCACATTTGGGAAATGCTTTCAATATTTTCATGGTGAAGACTATTTATTGTTGTTGCTAGAACAACCAGAAGCGGAGGCGGGAAGTTGAGAAAGTGAGTTTCTCTTCATCCACAAAACGAGTACTTTAGCTAACAATTATTGCTCCAACCATTAGCTTGAGAATGTATGTTTTTTTATTACCCTGTGATCCACTTCTGTGGAGTTGGATCAGACCAAGAAAGAGCAAAGACAAGGTGAAAACGTGTCTCAGGCCCCTCCCACCTCACTTCCTCTGACCAGCAGCAGCTCCTGATGGTTCTAACCTCCCTCATTCATTGCCCCTCCCCCATCCTAGTTTTTAAGATTTCATCTCCTCGTTCTCTTTGCATCAAGATTTTGCCTTGGGTTTGCAAAATGACACTTTACAAGCTAATTCCACTTAATAAATTATGTTGAAAGTAGACGTAACTAAGCCTCCCTCGAGTGGGGACCTGAAAACACAGCATTTTTAAGTCAAATAAAATTTGAGTGACAGAATTTTGGTCAACAAGTCAGGTCGGAGGATTTTTCCATGGATGGGACCATCTCCTCCACACCTACCAAACCATAGAGGTAGTGTCGGGGTGAACCCAGGCATTATGAGTGGCATTGATATAATAGGAGAAGGAGAAGCCTTTCCCTCTCAGGGACTGTTCTTAGTCATTGAATTCCGTGCTTAGGACTTGGTCAACTTTTTGCTTATTCCATTTGATATAATCTTAGCAACTTTGGGGGGGGGTCAAGTGAATTCTAAGCTTGAATTAAAAGAGTTCTTAGGTTGCATAGACACTGTTTCAGTTACCTGCTAGCACACATGAATAATGCTGTCTACGTAGAAGTAGCAAATGCATCAGATCAAGCAAAAGGAGACAGAGCATTTTATTCACCCAAGGTCTCAGCCTAAGGACAAACTCTCTCTTTAGAAGGTTGTTTAAAAATTAAACAAACAAAAGCGAAGACGCGGCCAGACTTGTTATAAAACAAAAGACAGAAACTTTAGCGATGCACCTGCAACTTGCCTTTCAAAGAAAGCAGGTATTTTCCCGGTACCTGTATATTCTAAACCTCAGTACACGTATGCCGCTTCAGTAGTCTCCAACTGTCTGGCATCAAGGACCAGTTTCGTGGATGACAGACTTGTGGAGGAGTGGGGTGTTGTAGGGTGATGTGCAGTCAAACCTCACTGTGAATTTTCATCTCTATTTGCAACTGCACTTCAGTGCTGTGCTCCACCTCAGATCATCAGGCATTAAATTCTCATAAGGAGCATGCAACCTAGATCCCTGGCCTGCACAGTTCACAATAGGGTTCACCCTTCTATGAGAATCTAACGCCCTGGCTGATCTGACAGGAAGCAGAGCTCAGGTGGTAATGCAAGCCTAGGGAGCAGCTGTAAATACAGAGGAAGCTTCACCCACTTGCTTCACCCGCCTGCCAGCCGCTCACCTCCTGCTGTGTGGCTAGGTCTTAACAGGCCGTGGACTAGCACTGCTCCGTGGCCTGGAGGGTGGGAACGCCTGTGCTACTTTACACAATTCTGACATTTGCTTGTCTCATTTCCTAAGCAACAGAAGCAATCAGTAAAGCAGAGGAAAGTGAAATAGCTGCTAGCGGTGGGTAAACTGAATGTATCAAAAGATTTTGGTTGATAGCATTTGGAAAAGTTATTGATCACTTCATCTTGTTCTCCAATGCTAATAAGTCAAACCTGTAGACTACAAATGACCTGCTTCCTCAAGCTTATGCTCTTTGCCTTAGACTATGATGCCGTCAACACCTAAGAATATTCTATTATCATAAACCTAGAAACTGGGGATGAAATATTCTTTTAGTAGTGTTCATACATTTCATTGACATCTTTCCATTTTTATTTCTCTCCATTGTCTTGTGTCTTGTTAGGGAAAAAAGTGATTCAAACTACATCGTGTATCTTTGCAATGTCTTTCATAAAATATGTGATCTTGTTTTGGTTTTTTTTCCCCTCATAGATCCGGGACTGCATCGGCAACTGTATTTTCTGCAAAGACCATCCAGTGTAGTAGCCATTGAAGGAAAAGATGCCGTCCTGGAGTGTTGTGTTTCTGGCTACCCTCCGCCAAGTTTTACCTGGTTGCGAGGAGAGGAAGTCATCCAACTCAGGTTATACACATTTAAGACTTCTGTGGAGTATATGCTACTATTGGTCTTTCTCTAATTTGATATAACTACTTAGAAATACTAGGATTTTTCATAATAATTGAGTATTCTTTTCCTTGTTCCTTGGCATGGTACAGTGTAAGAAAGACATTTTGCCACTGGAATGAAAAGACGAGGGAAAAAAATTAATGAGATCAATTCTAAAGGAATATTTAGTTAAGTCAAGGTTGCCGTTAAGATGATCCTGCCCAAAGAGTCTTGAGTGGAGATATTTTGGACAGTTCATTGTAAGAAAGTGGTGTAGAGAGAGGGGTAATCTTCAACATTCTCACCAGGTACACACACAAAAAAACTATGGGAAGTGATATGATAATTAATTTGATTGTGTTCATCATTTCATAATGTACATATATAGCAAAGGATCACACTATACACTGTAATTGTATTCAATTTTTATTTGTCAAGTATACTTCTTCAAGAAAGCTGGGGGGAAAGTAAAGCAAAATTTTCAAATTTTCAAATATGTAGCATGTCATTATAGGGTTTGAACAATTGTTTTAGCTTCAATTATATGCCTCACTATCCCAGCAATAACACATATTTAAGGTAAGATGGAAGAACTTGGCTGATTTTGAATTGCTGGAACATTCATAATAAGGTACAGTTAGAAAGTAAGCTCTTGATAGAATGAAACACTTAACCTTTTTGATGAAATGGATCTTACTTAAGAAATTAACTGTATTGATTTTGAGGACTGGTGACCTCCTTTTTATCACATTTATTTTTCCTAGAAGGTCGTTCCATAGATCATAAATTGTGCTTTAAATTTAATCCACAAATATTTATTTAGATAACAACAATACATGGTATACGTTATCATAGTATTTTTGAGAATATTGAAACATAAAAGAAATCCAATTACAGATTCAGCACATTGAGGTGTGTTCTCCAGCTATAGCCAGGCATTCTTGGTGCAGCATAAAATATGGCTTTGTACAAAGACCACTAAATTGTATGTCAGGACAGAGGACATTGACTTCCACTCTAAGGAATCACTTCTCTGGGCCTCAAAGCTCTCAAATCCAAAAATGAAAGAATTGGACTATATTATTCATAAATTTTCTTAGCACTAAAGTTAGTTCCAAGTTTAATCTACTTCATTTTTTGATCACTGAACACAGCCTTCCAATGGGAGTAGCTCACCTTGAATGAATTTTTGATGAATAAGTGAGATGTTATCAAGCCCTTACAACATAAGATTTCTTTCCAATTTCATAAGTTGAGATTTGGTGGAGATCATTTAAAGCTCTGAGTACCTCACCTCAAATACATCTATGCTGATATACTCTCTAATGACATATGTCCTATGTCTTGCAGGTCTAAAAAGTATTCTTTATTGGGTGGAAGCAATTTGCTTATCTCCAATGTGACAGATGATGACAGTGGAACTTACACCTGTGTGGTCACGTATAAAAATGAGAATATTAGTGCCTCTGCAGAGCTCACAGTCTTGGGTAAGTTAATGACTGGAGATGAGTTTCCATCGGACCCTTCAAGATATACTACCATAACACTAAATGCTCATCACTGAATCACAGTCTCCACTTATTAGTGTGAAATTTCAAAGTCCCAATACTCCACACACGTTCTTGCACTGCTTTGATTAATTGCATAAGAGCTAATACAATGTTGAAATGCATACTTGTTGATTAAATCCAGATATAATACTCTTTATCTATTCGAGTGATACAACTGGGAAGTACCAAACATTATTCATGGATGGATGTTTTGAATAACGAATGAGAGGTTCCAAAATATATGTTGGGAAAATAAATGAAAAAAAAAAAGAGACAAATCATACAAAACAAATGCTCTTGAGGGGAAAAGGCAAATGTTATTTGAGATGACAGAGTCTATGACATTAATTCAGTATGTTGGCAGGATTGTTTTATTAACCTAGAAATACTGTAGGTGTTATGTTGAAAGTGAGTCATTAAAATCAGATACATGTAAAAAAAGCTAGCATAGTAAGAATGTACAGCATTTTAAGGGACATGTATGGGTTCATATTATTCTGAAAGATAGTCACCCACATATCATCACAAATTATTAATTCTTATATGTAATGGGTACTCAATCAAATGCTTGTTTTATTGTTTACTCCAGATTTCTTTTAACTAGTTTTATTTGAATTACGAAGCTTAGAAAAAGTACCTTAACATTTGGATTTCAATTTCTCCTTTCCGGTAACAACAACACAAGACTGGTTATTAATCATCGGAGTTTTTCCTCTGGAATAAATTATTTTGCTTTTAAAAGAATCCAGGAAAAAATCTGCTACTTAAATGTTATTCAGAAGACATTAAAATATATGCTGATTATATCTGCTAACTGGTTTCATACATTATTATGCTATCCATTGTGATTTTTGTCTTTGAAGGCTATGCACTTTCATCTGAGGACAGGATAATAATGTATATGATGAGTTAGACTGTGGAGTTGCTTGTTCTTGAATTAAACCATAAAAGCAAACTAAGAATAAGCAAAATACTTCAATTCTTTGGATTCAGATGTAGCATTACTCTAACCAAAATATCAGCTGCAACAATCTAATTTATTCATATTTTATATTTTGATCAAACAAAGAAAACAGAGAACTTTCACATTTGTAATGTCAAAAAGAACAGTCACATAGAATGGCTATCATCGAAATTATACTGTGTATGACTGATCGTCACCAAGTATGATTATCAAATAAACTAGAATTTATGCTGATCATAGGTAAACATTGTCTTGCAAATGCATTTTACATCAAATTAATGCACGATATTTTAATAGGTAATGATTCTTAAAGATCCAAGATACATGTACATAAATACTGATTTATGAGTATGAAATAATTTAGCCAAGATATATATGTATAAACAAATATATGTGCCCACATATTAGCCTTTTCTAATGATTTGTATAACTTATTATAAAATAATTATATGCTGTCTAATACATGAAAGTTATTCAAAGATGCACAAAAATTTAGTAAGTTTTTCCACTCCAAGCATTGAATTTCTATCTCACTGAGGTTAATAATTTTAGTAGCTTGAAATGTTTTGTTTAATAAAATCTGTATGTCTCATTGAAGCATTTATGCCCACATAAAGTTTTGTAGCTATTTGACAATAGAATGCCTTATGCCAGGTGGCTAGTCTCTATTACAATACTTCTAAGGGTCCTTGACCAGTGTGTTTATATTCTAAAGACATAATTTCAATAAAAAAATTGACGGTAACATAGAATAATGTAATTCTATAAAATTAATATATACTATTTATGTATATATATATGATATGCATATATAAAACATGTACAAATATCTACATATATGCATGTGCATATGTATATTTAGATGTATATGGAGAGATAGATATGGACATAGATGCATGGAAAACAGCATTTACCAAGTTCAAATAAAGCGAGACTTTCATTCTTCACAACATCCTCCGTGGGAGATGTGTGGGTAGAGCCCATTAACAGTACCGCTTTTGCCTCCTCTAGTTCTTTATCAAATGGGAAACTTAAAAAAGAGTAAAGAATAGGGTGCGTCAAATATACCATTTTTTTCAAACTGCCGTTTGCCATGCAGTTTGTATCTTCATGAGGGAGACATGCCCACCTGGCCGTTGACAGCATGGATTTTGGCAGAATGTTGCTCAGGTGCCTGGAGGTTGATGGCCATGGAAAGCACTTGCTCTCTTAGGCAGACATGTTCCCAAGAAATAGCAGCAGGTGAAAGGAGCTCCTTTAACTTTTCAATTTGATTAAGTCATTTGTGTCATTTATCCTGATCCAGCATTCCAAAAATAATGGGTATTGGGGAGGGGATGGTAGGGTCAGCCGTTGTCCCTAAAGAAGCCCCCTCTAACAAGGAAGAAAACATCAGTATTGAGAAGAAGCATTCACTATCCCCATCCCACCTTCAGGTGGTGCTATCCATCCCATTTGACAAAGGAGGACATTTTGGTCCAGGAAGAGAAGTAAGGTGTATCCAGATTCAAATCCAGAAATTATGACCCAAGAGTCCCAGACCTGTGCTTTACTGTCTACCTAGTTCACACATTTCTCATTCATTTTCTTTTTTTCTTTTTTCTTTTGAAAATAGACATAAAATGAAGCAGCTTTGTGTGATACAAATGAGTTGATTCTGAAATTTCAATTTGGTTAATAATTGGTGATGCAGTCACTTACATAAAATAAAATAAAATCACTTACATAAAATAAAATATGTGAGGATACTGTACCACTCTTGACATCGCAGAGAGAGAGGTTCACAAGGGAGCAAGGAAGAAAGAAATAGAAGCTGTTCTTTGAGAATGAGGCTAAAACAGCCATCATACTCATAATTTGTGGTTAAAGAAGCAGGTGAAAAGAGTACTTGGTGTCAGATGGTTTATTCTTTAACTGTAGCTGCTTATTTTTCCAAAGCGGTGTGCCATTTGTATATTCAGAAAAATAAACATGGAGGCATAAAATGCAATATGCTTATGGTATAAAAAAATGAGAGAAATAAAAATTTTAAAACTCAGAAAAAATATTGAGGTGCTCAAGCTCACACACACATAACCCAATGTCCTGGACTTTGCAGTAATACCCACCCAAACACATACATTCACCTTCTCCACACAAATGAGAAGTAGTCTGTACTGTAGGTTTGTATTTGCTTTAGGGTCAATCATTGCATCTCCCCCTCTGTGTGACTGTGCACATGTGTGCATTCTTCAGTTCTTCTTTGTTGAACATTATTGTATTTCTAAGTTTTATTTAAAGTGTCTGTGGTAGTGTTTGCCTGTAGTCCCAGCTACTCAAGAGACTGAAGAAGGAGGATCCCCTGAGTTCAGGAATTCTAGTTCAGCTAGAGAAACACAAAGAGTTCATCTCTAAACAATAAAAATATAGGAACACAAAGTTGATTATTCTTAAATATTTTCATCACTTATTTGCTTATATTTTCATCATATATTTGCTTATATTCTAAAGACGAATATCCAGAAATCTTTATACCCTCACCAACAGCACAAGAATTTACCACTCTCCAAGTAATGCATTTCCCACCACAATATTTGCCTAACTTACAGTTTTATAAAATGGAATCTCCCTGCAAGAATTTGTATTCCTATTCATTTTTCTTCTTAGGGTTTCCCTGAGCATTTATATTTTACATTTCATGAGTTTGCTACCAATATTCATTGACCTTTATACATTTATTGAAACATTTACTTTATTTTATTGATTTGCAGGAATTCTTTATATAGGAAGAATAGCAATGATGTTGTGTATGATGTACATTTTTTTCTTTTTGCATTTTGTATATGGCACCAAATCTTTTTTTTATGGTTGCTGACTTTGTTGCCATTAGATTTACATTATTTTTCTAAATGAATCATGCTGTTTCTAAAAATCTGAATATAGATTACTTGTTAGATGTATAAATTAGCATTTAAAAAATAGCTATGTTTACATTTTGAGTTTTGGAGATCTTGAGGTTTTTTTGTTTGTTTGTTTTTAAGGAATTAGTTAGACAATTGATTGTACATTTTAAGATGTCTCACAGAATTTGCATGATTTTTTACTACTGCAGAAGGCATAATTTAGTTCAAGAGGTGGTTGGTATTCTGCTGCAATTATTCTACCCAGGATCTAAAAATGAATGTTTATATAGTAAAATATTTAATATGCTCTTTGACTATACTGATATAAAGTTAGAATCATCCTGCAGAACTGAGTTTATGTGGACGGTATAATGTGTTGCCATCTTAAAAGTGGAAGATGAGAAGAAAACATCATTATCAATATTATTCAAATTTATTTTTCATAATTTTTAAGAATTTAAGCATATTTATATTCTTTATAAGATAAAATCCCACAAGAAATCCAGGCTTGTGCTTATAAAACTTTAATCATGCATGCTATTAGACTCTTCTTTTGCTTTTCAACTTACAGCTAAACTGGCTGTGAATGTGAACTTTCATGAAGGAACACACTTTTCAAGTAGGATTTCATTATATACACAACAAGATAAAAAGAAATGTTGTTGCCATGCAGTAATTTCAAAGAGTGAATATGCTTTACATATAATATTGAAGATAGAATTTACATTTCCTTCTTATTAAAAAATTTGAAAGTTCCATAATCATTAAACCTTTTGGAGAAATCTATACTAGGCAAGACTAAAGACAACCTTGTTTACAATAAATAAAATATAAATACATTTTATTAATAATTACCATTTATGGTAATGTTCCCGACTTATGAGACTAACCAGCAATAAAGTATCAATGAACATCGTTTCAGGACAAGCACCACACTAGGCTCTGGGAAGACTAAAAACAATAAAGCCTGGCTTCAGTAGATTTACCGTAGAGTCACAAATTCCTAAAATCAGTTACTTTAATGCCTTCTGAGAAACCATTTCTTAACATGTTGAAAGTGACCATGGAATCTGGGAAGATATGAAGAGTACAGTTTCTACTCTCATGGAAGTCAGGACCTGGACCGGGGGGGTGGAAGTCTTCTCAAGAGGAAAATGCAGAGGGAACC